TTTTTTCTTGTTTTTTTGAAGGGCAGAGGCGAGACAACAGCAATGAACAGTTCATAAAAAAAGCTCAGGATAAAGACCTCCAGGAACAGGAAGAGACAGCAAAATAAAGGGGCCAAATCATGGTGAGAGTTACATGTCTCTAAGCCTTTTGTCAAGCATCTTCACCTTAGAAAGAAAGAAAAAAAAAAGAGAGAAGGCAGATCTAAATATGTCTCTTGGCCAGGCCGACGAGACCCAAGTCTTCCACTGTGCTCTTTGAAGTCACAAGGGGAGCTCACATAACACTAATAGCCCAGCAACGCTCCAAATGGCTGAGTCACTTTTTTTTTCTCCCCCTTTCACTTCACCGCTGCGCTCTCTCAGTACCCAGCAGCTCGTAGACCATGTTGACCTTAACCTGAGGAGAAAACATGAGCACACGCCATTCCATTATCGGGCCCTCGGCGCGAACGCCTCCCGACCCAAGGCTTCCTGCTCATGGTGCCAGACGTCATGGACCACAGAAAGGTACTTTTGATGGTGGCAAAGCATTAACAGCCCGAACACACTACCAACCAGTTTACAACGTAAAAGATAACATATTTAACTTCATATATTAATAAAAAACTTTAACATTTAACATTTAAAATATTCCCTTCAGTGCTGGTCACCACAATTTGCTCTTTGCTGTAGTTTGAAGAGAAATCAGTTTTTTTTAGAGATTCATTTTTTTTCATAGCAGTCACTCAGTAACCTAGTCTTGCGCGAAGGTTTGGGCACCCCTGGTCAAGTTACACGTTCTGTTGATTTTCCAAGTGAAAAGTTAACACATACTCTACACAGAACACACTACTAGTGCACATTTCATTTCTGCATGTTTACTTGCTGAATTCAACATATTGAGGTAAAAACTAGTCTGTGCAAAAGTTATGGTGCATTTTATGTGGGTTTTTTTTTCCACAATATGCTACACTCACGAAATATATAGAAATTGTGCAGTAAAAATTGCTGAAAAAGTTTTCTGTAGAGGATGTGTTGACTTATTTTTACTTAAAGCAACACTATGTAGGATCTGGAGGTTTGGAGACCTCTCTGGTGGAAATACGTAATTGCATGCAACATGCAGAAGAACATTTTGTAACGTTGGTCGTGTTTAAGACCCACACAAGCATCTGACTTTTGTGAGTGCATTTAAAGGGTATCCTAAGAGAACTCAGTCACAACTTGGTGACTGACGTGTCTTCCGAGGATGTGAGAGAATTATCTGCTACTGTCATCATATCTTCATCAGTATAATGCTGATTTTGCATTTGAGACCTAAACATTTCTGAGCCTGTGCTTGTGATGTTAATACGTAAAGACGTATGACGTAGTCCAAGAAATTCCTGCCAAATCCGTCCTTTGACTTTTAAATGATTATTTCAGGCTTTACAGGGCGAAGCAATGCACTCACACAATATTTTAGTGTGTTCTTTTTTCTCCATACTCAGTAATGCTCCTTCTTTCAGTTTTCACAACAAATATTATGTAGTGCTGCTTTAAATCTACAGAAAATGTAATCTGACCAGGGGTGTAAACGTTTGCATTCCACTGTATGCTGCTGTCAAACTGAAAAGTGCTTTTAATCTGCTACTACAAATTATTTGGTAAATACTATGAAATTAAAATATGAATTATGTGGTTTTAAGAGTGAAGAACTGAGGTGTGGGAAATATACAGACTCTCAAGGTTTAAGGGGTCAATTACAAATCCTATTTTTGCCCCTACACAAGCAGATTTGTCTATGAAATTTGTGTACAAAATGCCACTAAATTTCAGTCAGAGGGGTAAAAATTGTAGGCTTCTAAGTCACTCAAAGTGTCTTCCGGGAAACAGGATGCAAACATGGATCTTAAAGTTAGTGAAAGTTTAGTGAAAAAACAACACCACATCCAGTTATTGCCCCCACCATTTTACAGTCCATGCCAGACGTCATCCGCCCTCCACCTGCAAAACACAGGCACGCGCAAGCTCCCGGACCACCACAAGCACCACTGCTGTCAGACAACGATTTAAAAAAAACAAAAAACAAAAAAAAAGAAGACAAACATTGGAGAGTGGGAAAAAAAACTGGCACAAGATTCACTGTACATACTGTACCCTCGGCTGTGGCAGGCGGCCCAGGCTGGCGCCCTGCCAAGTCTACAATAAAACAAACATAGAGACAGCGTGCACCAGCCGAGAGGATGGAGGACGGAGGGAGGGGGGCTGTGGGAAGGCTGAAATGGTACACCACAATACACACCGCATGCCTAATATCATTCCCCTCCACCTTCTCGGCCTTTCTGAAGCCAGGAGAGAGCAGGAGGAGGAGGGATAAGCCAGTATCACCGTTGCAAGCGCTGATAAAAATCAAACCGCTCAAAACAGGAAGGATAAAAACAGAAAGTTTGCGAAGGAGAGGAACATCAAAGGGCCTTGCTCCGTCTCTTGCTTCTCTGCCACTGTCTGCGTCTATAAAAGTGCTTCCACTGAAAAGCTTGAGCATTACACAAGAGTGAAGCTCTCAAGAGTCAAGCTGCTACAAACATCAGGTTAGCGTTGTGTGTCAACTAGCAGACGAACGTCAAACTCTCCCCCTCCTCCTTTTTTTTTCTTTTTCTTTTTTTTTTTTGATGCACTAAAAATACGCTGCCTGCAATGCTCAGTTATTACAAGTGTTGAGGGGGAAACTGTCTGTGGCTGTTCCCTCGGTGAACATCTTACGGAATTATGAGTAGTTTTCCAAGCCTTTCTCAAAACAAAGCTGTCATCATTGTCGTGATCATTATCATCACAACTGCTGTGATTACAGATACAATTCTTGGCATGCTGTTCAGCCTGGGACTTCAGGGAAGGTGGGAAAAGCGGAAATTGGAGGTGTCCCATAAACACACAGCAGCCATGTGGCACTCCTGACCTGTCGATAAACAAGTCCAAGGGTTCCTAATGCAAGTCTTCTTAGGGACCCACTGACCGGAACTGGTTAAAATTTTACCTACTCCAACTAAGGCTCAACTGATATAACAGTCAGACGATAAAACTGTTTGACATTAAGGCTCCAGCATCGATATTAGTGAAAATACTTATGATATTTATAAGCTGCTTGTTTAAAATAATAATTAACATTCATTTAAGGACAAAAGATTGAAATAATCTGTGTTGCAATTTGCACTGCTGCTACACCTAATCTTTGATCATATAAAATTATATTGGTTGATATCAGTTATTGGAATTTTTACCTCCTTCAAATCAGTATTGGTGACAAATATCATATCGATCAATCTCTAAACTAAGCACACTTTGTCCAGTTAAGTAAAGGCTTGATTAGGCTTGAATTAGCTGATCAACTGGACTAGAACTGGGGCAGGGAACAGTTCACACAGTCCAGGGCAGTGGGTCCCGAGGACTGAAGTTCAGAATCACTCATCTTTCATTCTGAAGCCTCCTTATAGCCCATCCCTCTGAGAGAACCTAGTGTGAGGGGCGTGGAGAACTCAAGATTTTGAGACCAAGAGATACAGAAAGAGAGAGAAAGAAGAGAGAGAAAGTGGACCAGAGTCCTGCCTCAAGCGCTAAAATGGAAGCAAACACGTTTCCGTCTGCACCTGAAAAGGGCTGAAGGTGCTAAGGGCAGCTCTCATAGACCACAGAAGAACCGATTCTTTTTGAAGTGTTCTCCAGCCTGCATGCAGACAAAAAAATAAAAAAAATAGCCAGTGTCTGAGCTTGGGATTATCCTCCACTCGTTTTATCCAAACTGCGCAATCCTGCCTCCCATACGGCTTTCTGGATTACAAAGTCTTACCATAATGACATGAAGTATACTTTTTGTGAGTGTGTGTGTGTGTGTGTGTGTGTGTGTGTGTGAGTAACAGCACATTGACTGTGGGCCAGCATGGAACAGTAGATGAGAGTCAACACACTGTTCCCTTGTCTTTATTAGAGAGTGGCTCTCATAAATGTCACCGTAGAGCACATGCACGGTGGGTAGCCATCACGAGTGCAATGGCGCCACAATATCTCCACGGAGTCTGTTATTGAACATACATCTTGGGATTAGAGCAACCTCTAAAATAAACATTAGATATTTTCTTAGAGCAGCTTTTCTCATGCTGAGTTGTGCATGAATTGAATCAGGCAGCCCAGCATGAAATGCCATTCATCTCCCCACTCAACTTAGCTTCAAACACCCATGCGAAAAAGTCAATCCTATTTCACTCTATGGAGATATTGACATCAAAAATATGGCATTGTTATGGAGGAAGGTGAGTCCATTGCTCGCTCAGGAGGAACAATCTGGCTAGTTTTGCTAGCAAATCTAATCTGATCTACATCCCCAATTACCGTTCCAGAACCAATTACTTCACTAAAGTGCTGCTCATTGCCATGGGTGCACATCTGCTCTGTACATGGAAAAAATCTAGAAAATCTGATCAATGGAACAGAGTTACACTGTTCCACCGCAGAGAAGCTGACTTTTGGAGCAGATCTGGTCACGTTTGGGAGATCCCACAGAGTTTACAGACTCCTTATAAACCAGATTCACTTCGGACTCCTTCGGCCCCCTATAAAAAACTCCAACTCCAGTAAAAGCCCAACAGAGCAAATAAGCCTCCCATGATTTAGACAGGTTAGCAGAATCAATAGCCTGTGTGTGTGTTGAATTACATGGCTGTTAGGCTAGTAATGCAATAAGTGTTAGCACACTGCTGCTGGCACATCTCCTCAGTAGCCATTTCCAGCATTCGGTATTGGGCGTGATTCGTGAATGGATTCCACAGACATGCTAACGATTTAAAGGAGCTCAGATGTACTCTGGTCCGCTCCCTCTAATGTCACTATTTATGTACAGTCCTCCTTTGTGTCATCACCACAAAATATGCCACTCTCCTGGTGGTATGCTATTTCGAGCTGTGTTTTCAGCCTGGCTGAGCTATATTTGGCTATGGCTGTACAGACGTGGAGGCAGGCCCCTACAGATGTGAGCGGGTGAGTATTACCTGAGTGAGACAGCAAGTGCATCCTCAGGCGTAGGCTGTCTAGGAAGCGCTTGCCGCACAGCTCACAGCCGTAGGTCTTCATTCCGCTGTGCAGCTTCCTGTGGAGAGAGGCAGGGCAAAACAACATCAGCGACTGCTGCACAGCCAACTCCATTTATTTAACTCACACAAAGACACAGCGCTCAAATCCTGCCCCCCCTCCTAAGTACACAACGTACATGATTTGATTAGGGGGCTAAACGCCAAAGACAGAACAGCGTAATTTCACCTTGCAAATGGGACGAGAGAAGCCCTCCGTGACTCACTGTTTAATAGGACAGGAGGACAAAATGGTGCACTATGTGGCAGTAAACTGTCAGCTATCATGAGACAGATAGATTACAGCTAGCTAGTGCTTTAAAGAAGACTTAAATAATGACAAAAAGGCTATTAATTCATAACACAGACATTCAAGAGTGGTTTTAAGACGATTTCAGTAGACACGCTTCGGAAAAGTAGGAAGTGATTTACTCAGTGCTACACAGGAGCCACGCTGTTAAAATTCTCAATGGCACACAAGGTTTTAAAGTGCTATTGTTCATTCATGTAGTCCCTCAGTGGCAATGAAGGAGCTCTTTATCTGAACAGAAACATATAGATGCCCTGTGAGCCCCGAGATAGTGTGCATTTACTCAACTTGCGGGGCGGGCTGCCTTTTGGCCCTTCAGGCGTCGTTTCAAACAGGGGGTCGACCTCTCTCCGGACAGAAAATGAAACATTTGTTCTCTTAATTATACAGTCCCTGCACTGCTGGCACAGACCACCGATGTGAACAGGTCCAAACTGGGTGTGTAGGCCTGTCATGATCAATACATTTTAGCTGCCATATAAATAAGTGCAATTAACAATTTAATTATTTTTTGTTTACTGTAATGCAATTTAGAGTGATCAAACTGACTGCTTAGCTATCCTGCCTCCTAGCTGATGATACTTAGAAGCGCCCAACTGAACACAGAAGCAGCTCGAGCTCAAATAAAAAAACATTACTCACTGCTGCCCTCTAAAGGTGTTGGTTGTTTTCATAAGACCCATTTCTTTTATTCACATTTACCTCAACCCAGGGGATAAAAACAAAACCAACTCACATTTTGCTGTGACAAATATATTTTGTGATTATTGTTTATATTATATTGTTTTGTGATTGTGATGGCTAACAACTGTGGAAAATAACTGATCAGGTCAAATAACTGAGATCATGCAATTATGTGATAACTGTGACAGGCCTGGGTGCAGAAAGAGAGAAATCTCATTCTTGTTTGAGTTTCTCAGTAACATGTTGCAGAGTTAATCCACAGCACACAGCAAACCCAGCACCACTAGACACTGGCCAATATATCCAAATGTTTCGAGGCAATTACGACAGCTGCAATTAGCATTCCAGATTGACCCCCTGACCTATGTGGGGATTAGCATGAACCAGTGAACGTTCATGTGTGTCTTTCTCAGGGTAGACAACAAAGAGCAGGGTATCTGAATCTTTAACCAGGCTAATCATCAGACCCGTTGCATCCTCACATAGATAAGCCGGTAAGACCAATGCAAAGTCAACAAAAAGGATTTCCAAACTCAGGTTGGTTACAAGCTAAGTGACTGCCCACCCATAAAGAACACGAAATTGAGCCATGGCAGGTAAGCCGGTTTATTGTTTTATGGATGTCCCTTGCTTAAGTAGACTGTAGTGGAGCAACCAGCCGCTCAAAGAAAGAACGCTGGCAATGTGTTACAAGTGGTGAGCCGAATTAGTTTTTATTAGCATGCTTACAGCATTTGGTAATTGTTTCCAGAGTAGTAATTAGCTCATTGTTTGCACCTCCGTGCCAAAAGTATACATGTTTAATGAGAACCAAAGGCAGGCCCTTCTCCTGTTTCTATTTATGCTTAAAAAGTGAAGAATGATTATTGCAAAACATATGGTTACAGCATGCATGGCTGTGTGTTTACTTTTATGCCATAAATTGCATATTAAATGCTTAGCAAGATAGAAGAAGAACCACAGACTTTGTAGCTTTAAGCTGATTACTTTGGTTATGTTGCTGTCTGAATCAATGAATCATTCAGGTCATCGATCAAAAGTTTAGCAAAGATGCTGCTTTGTTTTGAATTATGTTTACCAACGTCACACGGTAGGTTGCAGTGATTTAACTGTTTTTGCCATGCATCTGAGTTGGCGGCAAAAAACGTAGTGGGCAGATTTCTAAAGCAAGGAAGTGCGGTCTAACCTCAGTGAGAATAAATTGATGGAAAACCATTTTAGGCACTGAACAGAGAGAGTGGGGGAAAAACTCCAGAAAATAAACAAAAGAATAGGACGGGGGAAAAAAACTTGCAAAGCGTCCAAAATCCTGATGGCTGTCTTCTAGATGGGGATTGTGGAGACCCAACAAACAAAGAGAAGAATGAAGCAGCAAAGCCCTTTGGCAAGCTGTAAGTAATTAAAAAGGCCTGTAAACGCCTCCCAGGATAAAGGGCACTTCAAAAGGCAGGCGGGTGAGTGAGCGAGTACTGAAAAAAAAAAAGTCGGGGGGGGGTTATGGGTGGGCTGGGAAAAGTCAGGGGTCTGTGCACCTTTGGGAGTTGGGGGTAAAGCTGTACTGCTGTACTGGGATACTGTATGGAGAGTCCTCACTCAAAGGCCTTTGTGTGCCCTCAATCTACCCATTGTCCTTTTCCTTAGGCCTGAGAGGAGAGTTGCCAGAGTGATTAGAAAGTGACATCATTGCCATCATACCAAAACTGCATGAACTTATGTTCAGTTTTTTGCCTTTTACATTGTATGGCAAATGGAACAACATATTTCGTCGAAAATAGCTAAGATTAAAATAGTTTTTTGTTAATGCATATCAAAGCTAAAGTTAAAATTAATATTTCTTGTGTCTCTTTTGAAATTACCATTTCAGAGATCCATGGTATTGTTGCAACAGTGACTATATATTGTCAGAGTACTTTGGCCCAAGAACCAATGGACAGATTGGTCAACGAGAAGTGGAGGAGCCGACACGCTAAACGCCAGGGAAGTCTAGAAACTTCTAGAAATGTAGTCAGTGCAACAAATTCTATAAATCATTATTTAGACTGGGCTGAAATTATGTGTAACTCTTTACAGAAAGGCAGCATTCATAAGGCTACATGACACCTACACAAGCCTTTCATGACAACTGACATACCTATATAGACATTTATACAGACTTTTTCTAAGTGTCAGTTGTATGACCTGCTGAGGTGAAATGACATCAAAATTGACAAATGAAGTTTTCCTGACGACTTAAACTTGTTGGAATAAGCCTTTATAAATGTCGGCTTATGAAACGTCATAAAACGCTTATGAAGGTGTCATGTAGCCTTGATGTCATTCAGTAAAGACTTATCAAATTATGTGTCTAATTAATGAAAGACAGCTTTATCATCTATACTTTACCTGTAGAAGTGACAGCGTAGGCTACAAGCAGAATGCTTTTGACTTCTAATGTGAAAAGACCACAGAGAGGGGCTGTGAACTCTAGCCATTATTACCAAGTTGTATATTCTGGACAACCAGAAGTGACCCCTGTTTATGGGACAGACGCGCACACTCTCTCTCTCTCTCTCTCTCTCTCTCTCTCACACACACACACACACACACACACACACACACACACCTCCTATGTGTGAACTGTGGCAGCTCCCTTTCCCCTCAGGTCTCTCCAACCAGCTGTGCTTTTAATTTGCCACAGAAACTGTAGATGGTGTGCGTGTGTTTTGTGTGAAAGACAGAGATGGTGGGGGGACCACGAGTGCCTAAAACAGACTGACTGTAGTCATTAAGGAAGCCGACATAAAACTCTCTCAAGCCATTTACTCAGTTAATAAGCGACTTTGTCCAACAGTCAGTTTTGACAACGGCAATAAATTTCAAATTTATGTCAACAAAACATATGCTGAACACCTCATTTCAGAGCCGGAGTGGCGCACTGGCTCGTAAATCAGGGCCGTGTTTGAAACCCGAGTAGATTACGGGGCCGTGTTATTGAGCTGTTACAGCTCAGCCCGTATAAATCTGAACTTTCTCGCTCCGGAGTGGACCCCGGGCCGTCCATCATACCCAGGAGCTCCCCTGTCACAAGAGCCAGCTCACTGCTTCCCAGCGGGACAGAGGGGTTTAAGCTGCTCTGCTGCCTCTCTGGCCATACACAAACAGCAGCTCAGCTAAAAGACTATTAAGAAGACTCATCTATGTCCAAGCAGTTATAAACTGCATTCAATAGCTTGAGATCACTTCAATAAAATCCTCTCTCAGAAAAGACCAAAACCTCCAACTAAAATTAATCGAGGGCGAAAAAGCTAGGTTGCTTAGTGCCTATACATTGTAGCGTCTATAAACCATGCTCCATTGTCCATCGTCTACTGTCCTCTGCTGTGTTCTTTTTCAACCTTGCTACCCTGTCTAATCTCTTAGTTCCTCCAAAGCCTAATCTCAAAATATAACGTTTTTACACTACAGCCTTAATCAGGCCTGAAATTTTGAACAACAGTAGTCTACCAAATATCTGTCCAAACCTAACCAGAACCTTTCCACCAACTGGAGACCAAATAAAACGCCACAAATAGGGTCTGACCAATATATAGTTTGGCTGATATTAAGGTTCTACCAATTTATCGACATCAGTGGAAATCTCAAAAAAAAGCATCAATAATATCTGACTAAATATAGAAAACCACATTCAGCAATATGATACTATTATGAACAACTACCAAAAATGTAGGGATGTAACAATTCAGTACAAAATTATACATTGTATTGTACTGTATCGCAGCATGTCACATTGTATTGCATCATTTTATCATGACAAGCCTGTTAGCTTTGTGGCTAGTGTGTTAGCTTCAGATCAACATATTAGCTTGTGGCTAGAGTGTTATTTTAGGGCACTGTAAAGCACAGCTTTTGTTTCAGATATTGCACTTTTATCAGGCTGAATGCTGTATTTCACTAAAAACAATGACACAGAGCACAATTTCAGCCTCCTTATTTTTGTTCTATCAAAAAATGTACAAAATCAAGACACCATTGCTTTGTGTCTGCTTT